GTAGTCGTTCGTTTCGTACACGCTCGATTCGTTTAAGCATTTAATGTAGTTTGTACTGCAGAATTTATCGAGCTTTCGGTATTAACATATATCATGACATGAGTAGTATAGGCACTCGACGGTCGAAATAAATAAGGTGGAGTGTAGGATATACATATATATTTTATTATATAATATATGTAGGTAGGTATGGCAAGTGTTCCCGCAGTATTATACATATATATGTAATGTATATATAGGTATCAATAACATATTATATACATTTTCTATATGATTGTTATTTAATCATAATATATATTATGATATATATATATATCAATGGATTACCTATGTAGGTTGGTAGGTAAGACATGTTCAATATTTATATTGTTGTACCTATAATTGAATAGATCGATATATTATTATCTTATTTAAAATGAACGGTTAAATTATGATGGTTTTGACCACGAACAAAGAAAGCCCTAGAGTCGAAGTTTATTTCAAAATGATAAATTATAGGTTTAATATATACTCTACGTTAAAAACTTTGAAATTCAATAAAAAAAAATTAAAATTGCCGAGGGTGCAAATTAGTGGCTAGGATATCATATTATTATATTACATAAATCACCAGACATTATGGAATAAACTTCGATTTGCCGATTCCTGCAGCAGAGGAAGGAACGCCCTAATATGGGCACGTTTTGTAGTCAACAACAATACACAGTCACTATGCCACTAAAGCGTGTAGGTACTTATATTATTATATATGCTTTAAAATAATAAACTACGTACATATCCATGGCGACCGACTTGCAGGTTAGGTGTTCTCGGGCACGCTTTCGATGTACAATTTTAACTTTCTTGCACAACGATTGCAGTGATGATTATGCATAAAAAAAAAACAACACTTCAGTCATAAAATTATTATACGACCACACCGCAGTGTCGTATACGCGACCGGTACACCACTTCCGTAGATTGTCGATCAGTTTTCCCGTGCGTTATCACAAATGTCTTAAAACTGTGGCCCGTGGTATACTGAATTTCGATTTTAATTCGAAGTGGACCAGGCGATACTATATTGAATTTAAATTAGGTAGGTACCTATCGTAACAACGTTTTTTATAACACAATGTTAATGGTATAATAAGTAGGTAGGCACTGTTTTATATTATAAAATATACAGAGTGTATCAAGTATATTCACGTTAGATTACTTGGTCACTGTTAAGACTGAATTTTTATTTATTAGGTTAGGATTATTATTAAGTTAAACCGTTTTACTTATTTTATAGACTTACGATAAAATACTTTATCATAATATAAATTATTACGATTACAATAGTGTATATAATATAGTTGTAAGGTTGTAACTATAAAGTATACCATAATTAAATATAATGCAGACCTATTTTAAGTATTAGTTTTTGCTGATGAAAACTAACAAAACATTCGATGCGCATTCCATATGTCACACATTTTATACACTTTGTTTGTCCAACTGAATTATCTACAGCCTACTTTGGTACATCTTTTTTCATGCATGAAAAAATCGATACCGAGTGAATAAATCGCTAAATAGTAAAAAGTCATGTATCTAACGGCAATGCGTCTTCATTATAAATTGCAATCGTGACAAATTATGTAAATGTGTAATATAATATTACGATATATAGGGTCCGTCAGAACAAACGCACGTTTTTCAAAATGATGCTATATGCTCAAAGTAATTTCAGTTAAAAATGTTTTAGTGTATCAAAATATGCATACGCATAATGCATATTATGCAGTTTTTTTATATGTAACAAAATTTAGGTTTGGAAAATAATGTCAGGCATATGGCGCCCTTGAGCCACAAAGTAGAGATGCGGGCACTCACGAAACGATCCTATATCGTGTATGTCAGCATCTATCGCGATTCGTGGTTTGTATTGGTAGACTTTTAATTTTATGTTGACCCCACCAAAAAAAATTGCATGCAAGTCAGGAGAGCAAGGGGGCCACGGGATGTCCCCAAAACGCGAAATGAGCCATATGCTGTATGACATTATTTTCAAAACCTAAATTTTGTTACATATAAAAAAAACTGCATATGCGTATGCATTTTTAGATATAATAAGACATTTTTTACTGAAATTACTATCATTTTTAAAAACATGTGTTTGTTCTAACGGACCCTGCAGTATTAGGTATAAACAAAAAAATATTATACGATATGAAATATAAATTAATTGTATTTGAAATTCTTTTAAAAAATTGTTCTACACGCACGACGCGTGAACGCATAATATAAATAAAATTATTGTCGTTTATTATACATTTATTTTATTTCATAATGTCACGTCAACAGTCTACTTATATAGCTATATTATAGAATAATACATTGTCGTGGTCAAACAGTTTATATGCCATATGCGGTACAGTCATATACAACTCATACACAGCCGAAATACGTAGTTCTGACGTCAGAAGTTAATATACGAAATTATAATAATTACTTGTACATTTATTTTTATGCGAAATACTGAATATCTACACGTACTAATATTACATAATATTAGCGTTTATGAAATATGCATACTTGACTAAACCGATCAACAACCACCACAACGCATTTTTATATCTTTTAATCACATCTTATAAAGTATAGCTTATTGTTTTTCATTTAATGAAATTAACGCCTGCCATCTCTCTGTCTCTCTCTTTATATAATACGAGTATATATTATGGTGCCATGGTGGCCATCACGGGATAAGCAATATAATCCAAACGAGCACTTACAATTATTTGATTATTTTGAGAAATTCAGACTATATCGATGTGCAAAAGAGGTCATAAGTGTATATGAAAAAAATCAGGTGAGTTCAAATCCCTAAATTTAAAGATTACGCATAGTTACGCATATTCATAGGTTTTGGGCGAACAAAGGTTGGACTACCTACTGCAGACGAATGAATTATAACGCGATCTCTAGAGCAGCGGTCTTAGGACGGCTCAATAAGAGGACGTCGACATCTAATAAATTTTTAGGTTGGCCGGCAGTTCTGATGATGTACCCGAGAAGACTTTCAGAAAAACAAATTAGAGATTAAATAGGATGTGGGGCACCAACACAGCCGGTTCTTTTTAGTTTTTTGATAGAATTAGTCATGAAACTTTGATACATATTTGAAGAACTCATTTAAAAGGTAAAGCTTCAAAAACTAATTACTTTAGATAATGTACAATTATTCACATACAGAATATCACAAGCGAAAAAATAATGAAATTAATCTATTGGAGTATCTATTCAATAATTAGAGTAGGGATCCCAGATTTATATTTTAAAAATACGGGACAATTTTTTAAAATCATATCTATATACTTCAATACTTGTAATTTGCATTTGCATTAGTGTTAATTT